GGTACTGAGGAGCTAGACCATGGATACTTTTGAAAACAAGGGGTAGAGTTTTATGTTTTATGCGGTAATGGAGGGGAAGCAAATGAAGTGCGTGAAGAACGGGAGTAATGTGGTCCAATTTCTGTGACTGAGAGATTGCAGTATTCTGCACCTTCTGAAGCTTGTGTATAAGATGATTTGGGAGACCCACAAGAAGCGCATTACAGTAGTCAAGACGAGATGTTACATATGCCTGAATAAGAGATACTGTAGTCTTGACGTCCAGGTATCGTCGAATCATGCCGATGTTACGAATGTAGTAGTACGCCCTTCTACAGATGTTATTGATGTGTGACTCCATGGACAGTGAGGAATCAAAAATAACTCCCAATTTACGTACATCAGGCTTTGGCTGAATCTCACATTGACCGATGCTGAAGTTAGGAAGAGAGATACTGGTTTGGAGACGCTTAAGGTGGACAACTATAAGTTCTGTTTTATCATCATTCAGTTTGAGGTAGTGTGACGACATCCAGCTTTTGAAGCAGCTGACACACTCTTCAATGGTGAGGAATGAAAACACAGCTGATGAGGGAAGTAAGGGTTTGAAAGATATGTAAATTTGAGTGTCGTCAGCATATAAATGCAGTCCAAGATTCTGACGATATCACCTGGAGGAGATGTATAAATGGTGAAAAGTAGAGGTCCAAGAACCGATCCTTGAGGCACGCCGTAAGCAAGATCCTTAGGACTGGAGATGTGACCATCAATGATCACCGATTGATGCCTACCTGATATGTAGGACTCAAACCACTGCCCCAGAGCAGTGCCTCTAATACCCATCCTGGTCTGAAGTGTACATATCAGAATACAATGGTCCGAAGCTGTATCTAAGGCACTACTCAGATTTACTAGAACCAATACTGCAGAATCACTTTTGTCTACAGCTCTCAGGATGTCACTGTGTACTTTATCGAGTGCGTTTTCCTTGGAGTGGAAATTCCGGTATGCTGATTGCATAACTTCCAAACACCCATTTAAGGTCATGTGTTCCTTGAGTCTTGTTGTGACCACACGCTCAATCGACTTTGAGGTGAATGGTAAATTTGTGACAGGCCGATAAATTTTATTAAGAGTTCTTGATATAAACTTTTCTTCTTCAGGAGTGGAGTTGCAATTCCATTTTTAATGTATCCGGCATCACACACCCCTGAAGAGACTGATTGACAACAGAGGTGAATATAGGGGCAAAGGTATCCAGGGAGTTCTTGAGAAGCTATGTAGGAATAGGATCAAGATTACATGACTTTGTCGGTGACTTAGAAACAAGTTTCACAATCTCTGCTTCTGTTGCTAGCTGGTCGGAATTGGGATAGGCATAGGCAGGAAATGCAGCTGCTGGTTGGGGGTCAGCGTGTGGAAGGTCATCACGTGATAGTGATTCTCTGATTGTGGAAATCTTCTGAGAAAAGAAGTCTGAGAACTTGTCAACTAATTGATTAAGGGATGTATGATATGGAAGAGACAAGGAATTATCCTTAAACAGAAGCGATCCTGAACACACCCTTCTGTCCCTCCGCATCCTGCAGTGCAGCTTTGTAATAGCTTGACTTGGCTGTCTTCATAAGAGAGTGAACATGATTGTCTCTGGTTGTCATGCATCTGCTTATGAATGTCTCCTTACAGACAGCCACAGTTCCACTATCAATCATATCCAGCCTTAAGTTTTCTAAACTCCTTCGTTTGTTTTTAGAAACAAGAATACCAAGCCGCCTCCTGTCACCGACAGTCAATTTTTCTGGGCCTACCTGCGCCTCCCTGGTGCCCAATGCCATATCCATTTGCAATATTTTTTAAAACACGAAAAACAGTGGACAAAGGGATGCCTGTTCTACTTGAAATGACTTTAGCTGATCTGATGTCCTTGTTATAATACTCTAAAATCAACTTCCTCTTCTCTAAATCATCCATACTGAGGATCACTGCAAGTGTCGTCTGCTAGCAAGTAAACAAAGGGTGATAACTCTTCTCAAACTAATGAAAAAGGATCAACGGAGTTGTCTCTCTTGAATGAAACCAAACACTTGATAGCTGGTCAAGGTTGTTTATACTAGATATCCAATTAAACATATTCCTAAAATTCTCAATAATTTCTGGTCATACTATAGTTCTTCAGGGAGAGCTGTTGGGCTGTGTTCATTACATGCCATGGGGGTGCCTCTTCTCAGATAAATAATGTAGTTAATTTGGGATGTAGTTCAAATGGGAGTAAACCGACAAATCGTCACTATTTGCTCACCGGTTACTTTATAATGCCGACCGCATTGAACTCAGGGTAGGAGAGTGGTCGTATTGATACGGCAACACCGGCCGTGCAATGTTGCTGTGCTGTCTGTCATTACTGTACACGTGTGTACTGCAGTATACCATACACATATAGAGGCATTCATCTGGATAAATGGCTGCTCCGTATTTAGACACCAACCTAAAGGTGCAACTGTTAGTAAACAGTTTCAAGGTTATTTTGTCTGTGTGCTATTTATGAAGACACCAAAATAAAGTTGCTTAGCAACTACTTATTGTGTCGGTAAACAACGATATAAAGGGGTGTTGGGCTGTTTCGATAGGTGTTTCTAATATGCCTGTTATACACGTAGACAAAGTAGTAATATAGATGGTTGATGTGTACATAGACATCAGTCTGCACATGTATTTATGTTATCAGTTATAGCAATCAAAGATCGATATGCTTGGTCGTCAAATCATGATCTTAACATTAACATACACATTGATGATGGTCGTCAATCATTATCAATCGGTTGGAGTCCTGCATCACCATCCGGACAACGGTTCAATCTCACTTAGCCAGAGTATTGATAACATTGCACTATGGCTAGGTGAGAGATGCGAGCCAGGAAATTGGCATTAGCCACTGAAGCGCGAGCCTTTGTTCTAGGGCTATAGTCTATATCTACAATGCGACATGATTTAAGAAGTATGCAAGTGTGTGTGCGTTTATTTGTAATATGAAAATTCGGTTTAAACATATATATTTCTGATATATTGTTCAGAAACTGGATCGGCAAACAATCGAAAAGCTTATATTAATGCCTCTCCAGACAAAATAGAATTTATGCGACTTGCATTTCATAACATTATTACAAAAGTACATGATATCATAAACAACATTAAGCATACAATATACATGAATATAACATCCACACAGCCAAAATACCAAGGGCCAGTTGAAAACTGTTGAAGTATAATAAAGGTATGTACTGATTTGATAATATCACGATTTATAGATCTATAAAAGTAATTCTTGGTTACCATACAGAGCGTCATTTATTTAAAATAAATCGTTATAGCATCATGGTTGGGACATATAAAAAGATAGTGAAGGGTGTCCTCAAAGGCAGCACAAGTACATGATGGGTTATCGGATATAAATCAACTTACTTTATGAGCATTTAAATAACTGCATTCTAATCTGAGTCTGCAGTGGATAATTTGACAGAACCTGTTTCCAATGTTGATATCAAACCCAAATGAAGTATCAAAATATGATGTAATCTTATTCTTGAATTCACTTGGTGATCATACAATGACGCGGCAAATCTGAAAGATCTGTTTTCCCGCGTGAGCGGGCATATCATTGTTAACTACCTGAGGGAACTGTAGTTATGTAATGTGAATAACGAACTGCTTACGTTCGAATTTGGTGCTATAACAATGTAAATGATATATAAAACGTTTATAAATTCACACTTGATCCCGTCACTATATGGCTGGAATGATGCCGATGTGACGTAAAACCCAACTCAACTCTACTCTACAACTTAACTCTACATACATACACACACACACACCCACGCACGCACGCACGCACGCACATTTGTATAACGCCGATATCCAGCTCAGCTGCTCAAAGGCTGCACCGAGTTAGTGTGGCTTTCCCATCCTTACGAAGTACCCATTCACAGCTGGATGGACTTGGACACATAGTCACAGTACTTTGTCCAAGTTTACTGCACGTTGCTGTACCCGCAACTAGGTGTTTGCACGTATTCATGTGGCAACCATCTGGTCATATACCAACGGATTCGTGGGTTCTTTTAAGTGCACAGGGTTGTGTACTGTACACTAGGGGTTGTGACAACACTGAAAGAGTGTGCACACAAAGTTGACTCCACGGTTTTTTACACCCGGTCACAGGTGGGTTTGATCCCGTCACCTCATACTTGCTGGATCACTAGCCTGGCGCCTTAGCCAGCTCGCCCACCACGCCCCATTGTATAAGTCCGAGTTCTTCATGCAAAGAATTCCAAAGTTCAATAGTACTGGGTAAAACTGATTTAGCAATTTAGTGATAATTGGTATTTGTAACTCTTTAAACAATTTATCATTGATGAAACATTATCATGTACAGAATTTATCTATACAGTCTTTTTTGAAACCAGAGGCCTAAATGTTTAACACAAACCCAAGTCAGCCAAATCCCACTCTGGCTATGTGAGAGACCTGTTTTGACAGAATCTGGCTAAGTGAGAGGACACCCGGACAACAACGTAAGTTGGCAGGTCCCCTCACAACCCGAATCAAAGAGCATGAAAACGCAGTATTCAAACTCGACTCCCAATCAGCCTTATCAGGCCATATCCGAGAGAATCCCGACTACAGCATCTAGTGGGACAGAGCCAAATGCAAAAAATCAGTAAATGCCAAGAATCTATCTAAATAAAAAGACTCCAAGCATCCTGTTAGAAAGTACACCAAAACTGTAATAAAGAGGTTGTTCATCCATCTATTGTTGTCGTTGCCCCTAAATACCGCTCAAGAAGTTGGCATATAGACGTCCGGGGTGCCCTTATTCGTTTGAGGTCCTCCCAGCGTTAACAGTATCAACCAACACCAAATGAAACGTTTTGTGTTGCAAAATCCAGGTTGCTTGAAGCTTTGTACTCAAATAGTCAGCAAACATTGCGGTCTATATAACAACCGCTCATGTATTGAGTTATTGATAGGTGTTGAGTCACAAGTTGAGCCCATCTTGCAGCGTCACTGTCGAGGTCCCTACCGACGAACATTCCCGATCATCAACCGGAGGGAAGCTGACCAGTGACTCAACAGGAACCACACCGTAAGGACAGGCTGCGTCGGGCGGTAGTAAAGTACACATATACCCAGTTATAAACACCGCTTATACGGCAGGAGATTCCTACACCGTTCCTAGCAGGCAGTGACAACACAGCGGCATTGCTCATCGACTATTTGCAAAATGCCAGTCCTTGGGTGTCGGAAGAGAAGGTAAATATGATGTTTTTAATCTGTTAGGGGTGTTTTCTAATGAATCCATTAAAATACAGGTATATTGACCGTTCTGTAGGCTTCGGTTTATAAATATATGATATATGTGTGTGTGTCAGATATACCGATTAGCAAGCCATTATAGACGTATCTGATATTTTAGGCACATGCAACAATGTGCCAGTAGAGCAACAACGACGTGAATTAATATGCCTTTTGTGGTTTAACCTATTTGTTATTGTGTTATTCGCGGAGTATGTAGACCGGTCCGACATCATTCAACCGCTAACAACTAACGCCTGTTGTGTCATTTACTGACGCTACTGTAAACTATTTATTACGTGGGGTAAATAAAAAAATAAAATGAAATATGTGTGAGCGGCAATTTTACAGAAACACATTTCTGCATGTCAAGGGGATTTTGAATGTAAATTCTCTGTGTGTAAGTATGGGGAATGTGCAAGTCACGCTGTTCGGCTCGGGTTCGGGTACAAGGTTCATGGTCGCTAGTGTTTATCGACTGAGCTACCCGACCCAGCCCGGTGAGGCAGCGGTTTATGTAAGCATGGCGGACAGGCAATAGACGTGCAGGAATATGGACAACAAAAACGTGTCTTGTTACGCCGGTTATTCCTCTGACAGTTACCAATAATTCTAAATATTCAAACAGTACAACGTCTACCAAGTAATTGTTTCATACCATACATCATCAGCATTCTTTCTCTGGGTATGACGGTGATTGTCATCAAGTCATTTGTCAAGAATTAGTCAATACTCCATTTTTCACAAATCGATAGTTCACCTCAGTCATATTCTTGTGCATATTGGCATACTTTTTTTATTTAACTTTTATTGTCACCTGTTGCGGTGAATCTCTGAGCATCAATAACGTGCACTGGCACATTTGTGTTTTTTGAGACTGTTGTAGGATGTTCTATGTTTAATCTTTATATGATGAAAATATTCTGAGATAGTCAGCAAAATAAAGCTGAAGACCATGCTGAAGACAGATTATCAAAGTTCACTGATGTGAAACTGTATTTTTGTTTCTTGGATCATTCCATTTTTACGAAGGTATTACAAAGGTAGTTGTTGGTGCAGTCAACCATACCATATGTTGTTTTAACCCGCATGACTAGTGGGACGTATGACTAATGGGAGGACACCATCTGTACCAGCTGGCTCTGCCGGTAGTTGAAACTTCAAAACATCTAATTTGTACCGTGTTCTTGTTCAAATAACCGGGAAGCCAAATGTGACTCCATATTGAGGATAGTTATCCTTCTATTGGAGATGGAAGCCATGTTTCTTAGTATTGCCGATTACAGTGCATTATTTTCACGTGTAGTGACAGGCCATATTTAGATTTGCACGGCTTCAGACTTCATCATGTTTCCTCTTGACGTGGGTGCTCGACGCTATGGGGTTGGCGCTACATGACACACGTGGGCAGTGAAATGTTTCGTCGTCAATGGTTCGGAAAGTAACAGTATTAGTTAACCATACGTGTAGGTGAACTACATCAATCAGCGGGCTCATAGTGATCACTTGGCGTGTTAGGTTGTCATTGTACAATCTGTGGCTTGTTTCAAACAGAAACTTGATGTACAGAATAACTGATGAACAAGAAAGAAGATGTTAACTCAACAACGAAGCATTGCATATGAGTAAAACGAGAGTTCTCTTGCACTGGCGGGGCGGTGGGGGTAGCCTATTTCTGGTGTCCCCCGCCGTGATATTGCTGGAATATTGCTAAAAGCGAAATATTGATTAAAAGCTAAAACCATATTCGCTCGCTCTTGAACCGGCTAGTGGTGAAAGCGGCGTAAAAACATATTCACTCATACTCTCATCAATAATTATTGTTACTTCTTGGGCAGATCCTTGTTTTCATTCAAAACACGTCTCATCTGCTTCACGATGTAGAGCGGCAATTCAGGCCCCCGTCGTTCATGTAGCACACTAATTGTTGGCTGTTTGTATTCAGGGAGAATCGCGTGATAGTGTGTGAAATCCCTGATGTGAAAGCCACAATGCTTTAACTCACTGAAAGAGTTCGAGCCAGATATGAACGCATGTACTTCGGTTCAGCGAGCAATGCCCGATTGTACACCGCTAGCTAAATTTGAATAGGGATGGATACTTCTTGAATTGGAAGGACATTATATTTATTGTAAAAGATTATCCGTCCATGACATATATATATCAAACTATGTCGTCTCAAGATGAATAAATGTAAGTTCACTTTCAATATTGAAGCCTTTTTCTATTACAGATCTGTTTGTTGCTTGAATACTATCAAGAAATGAATATAATCTAATTCTTACTTCTAAGTCTACTGGATATAACTGAACATTCAGCACATATCAATTACGATAATCCCATTACAGTTAGTGGGAACAGAAAAAGTTGGAAAGAAATTGCGCAAGCGTTGGTATGTTAAACATAGTGACTGGTAACTGCTCTTGTCACCTGCTAAGGTCTTGGCATCGACTCGCTGGTTAAACGTTCAGTTGAATACTATAGTCTATAATGTCCTGTCACACCTATCGGTACATTGTCTTCATTTCTCAATTGCCCATAGTATTGTGTGTTCACACATTATCACGAATCGTCACGGAGCACAAGCAAACACTGCAGTCAATAGCCCATGTTTCGCAGTCAGCGGGTTGCCGTGAAACCATCATGAATCTAGGTCACTCACAGCACTGCTGCAGTTAGATGGATGTTTATGTAAAGCCAGCGGGAACGCGAGAGCAAACATACGTGAAATGTTTTCAACTAGGCACAACCCAAAACTATAATATCGTTAAGGACTGGTGCAACACGAATCAGTGCCTGTACTGTTGGAAGAAAACGCTGGCAAGAGTAGATTAACTATTTAAAAAAAATATAATTGTAGCGTGATGATTATGGTAATTTCTTAGTAATCAAGTTTGGACCAGTGATCAACAGCATGAGCATCGATCTACGCAATTGGATATGATGATATGTGTCAGCTAAGTCAGCTAACTTGGCCATCGTTAGTCGCCTCTTCCGACAAACATGAGAAGCTAAAGACCAATTCCAACACGGATCTTCACATGTATGAAGAATCCATTTATAATACTTGATATTAAACCTGTGGTTTATGAATAGCTACTCCGTGTAGATGACCTAAGGCCAGGTTATGAAGGACTACTTTTACTATTGATTGATATGTTTCTCGTGCTTCACTCAAAATCACCTGTCTGTTTCGAAACCATTTGGGATAAATAAATGTTCTTTGAAAGTATCTAGTTTGCATCATCACAAGTTGATTTGATAATTCACATGTGTGACTGAAACGTTTTTGCGGAGGGTCACATCAGGCATGAGTAGTAAGAAGTCAGCAGGATGACGTCACTTATAGTGGCTGTGTTACGTATTGATGCGCCATTGCGATCATGAGAATGGACAGAATATGCATCAATTGTATGCTGATATGGTGAGATGTTAGGTTATGTAAGGAACTGACAACTGTACAAATACCTATCAAATTCCACTTACCTTATAATTCGTTGCTTGTCAGATACGTTCTGAACTCGTACGACATGGATGTATGACACTTGTGTCGTGATCTCTGAAAGTCCTCTCTATGTACATGTTTACATGTCTGTATTCATTTGGTGTTCACAGGACGGAGGACATCAGCCCCGTCAACTTCTCCATCAACGGACAACAACATACAGGTATGCTTCACACAGATACCCATATCATTACATCCCGGTTTTACAGTCAGTATTGCTCTGCTATGGATGGCAAATTCCGGCTGTATCATGATTATAAGTTTATGAATCAAATAGTGATGATTCCACATGTTCGCGAAAATGAGCCCGTCACAAACACTTGTAAAGGCAAATTAAGTGTTCACCTCACAAAATTACTGGAGCATACTGTACAGGTCAAAATGGGGAATTCATTTTAGATCATGTTTGTCACTGATGCTTCATGTTTGGAATTGTCCTCCAGAGGTCTACCTTTCGAGAGGTTTTGATACGGCCTTGAATGTTGTAAGCTTGACAAATGTCTAACAATATAGATTTTGTTTGTTGTTTAACGCCACACTCAGCAATATTCCACCTATACAGCGGCGGTCTGATATTAATCGAGTCTGGACTAGACAATCCAAGTCAGCGAGCCTGACCACCCGATCCCGTCAGTCGCTTCTAACGATAAGCATGGGTTGCTGAAGACCAATTCTAACCCGGATCTTCACGGGTGTACACATATAGAACTGTATTGCATTATTATTAAGGCACTAGATGAAGTAAATAGACGACATGTATGTTTGGTTTTGTTTGAATAAAGTGACCGGCGAATATGACGTGACGACATCCCTCAACGACTACATCCGTGACGGCGCGGGTCTGCCGGGGACCAAGGTGATGTGTAAGGAGGGAGGGTGTGGCTGCTGCGCCGTCACCGTCACCAAGCCGGACCACAGCACCGGGAAGGACACCTCGTTTTCTATCAACTCCGTAAGTGTAGGAAACCACTGCATCATGTTCAGGTACAATTGTATCCGTTGTATTTCTAAACCGTTTGATACACTGATCTCAGGGCAATGGATATTTGTATTTGTAAGAATTCCAACAATCCAGATTCTGAAGATTCTTGAAACTCAACAATCAACCAATCAACTCAAGATTTCATCATTACAAAGTAAAGCAACACTCATATCAACACGTGAACCTTTATGCCAAAACGTTAAGAACAGCTTAACTTGTAAATGTTGGTATTTACAACATCGTTTAAGGGGGCTCGGTGTATTACAAATATCGTCCATTATCTCTCCCAGTGTCTATGTCCCCTCTACTGTGTGGACGGCTGGAAAATCACCACGACGGAGGGTCTGGGGAACTCCAAAGATGGATTCCACCCAATACAGAAGAGAATCGCTGAGTTCAACGGCACTCAGTGTGGCTACTGTACACCAGGAATGGTCATGAATATGTATGGGTAAGTGTGGCTACTGTACACCAGGGATGGTCATGAATATGTATGGGTAAGTGTGGCTACTGTACAACAGGGATGGTCATGAATATGTATGGGTAGGTGTGGCTACGTATACAACAGGAATGGTCATGAATATGTATGGATAAGTATGGCTACTGTACACCAGGGATGGTCATGAATATGTATATAAGTATGGCTACTGTACACCAGGACTGGTCATGAAAATGTATGGGTAAGTGTGGCTACTGTACACGAGGAATTGGTTTGAAAACTCTATGGGTAAGTGTAGTTTCTGTGAAAAGAGCGTTTATAAGTGTCTTATTTGTATTTGAAAAATCAACATTTCAGAATCCTACAAAAGAACGCTACTCCTACTGAGGAGGAAATTGAGAACCAGTTTGGGGGCAACATCTGCCGATGTACCGGGTACAGACCCATCCTGGACGCCATGAAATCCTTCGCTAAGGACTCCACCATTCCTGGAGGGTCATGCATTGATATTGAGGCAAGTTGGTTTTCGTAATCACAGTGCAGATCATCGTGAGAGAAGCAAAGAAACACTGGAATATTGCATATATCATTCTTGATCGCCTCTGGTTATCGTTCAGGATAGGACTGCTGAGACTGAGAATGGTTAAACTTGCTGGCTTTCAAGGCTCTGGGACATTTTCATAGTCCGAATAGCAAAGGTATACATGCTAAACATGTTGAGGTGCGGGTCGTAAAGTTTAAATCTCTCTTTACTGACGCAGAACATTCTGTATGATCGTGTGTATGTAAGTTCTATGGCGATGTGCTGTTCCTGATTCGTATCTAAAGTTTATATCAATAAATCTATTTTAATAGTTGTCGACTGACTTCTGTTTGGTTTGCAGGATCTGAAGATCTGTCCCCGAACTGGCAAGACCTGTGAAGGACACGGCGACTCGTCCAACGGATCCTCTGCTAATGGAAGTTCTGCCAATGGCTCCAGTGCTAATGGGTCCTCAAATAGTGTCGGTTTCCTGGTCAAGACGGGTGGAAAGAGTTGGTACCGACCCCAGACACTCAAGAACCTGGTTCGAATTTTTCAAACCAACAAAGGGGCAAAGGTTCGACTTGTGCATGGAAACACGGCATCTGGTGAGCCATTAGGGAGTGGGTGAGCCGGAGTGAGGCTACAGTTAGGGGTATAATTGTAGGATTTAACACAGACATTTACCACTGAGCTGAAACCCATGAACCCTCACAGGGGTCTCACTGACCTAGAAACGTTATGAGGAGATTATGGAAATGGAAATATACTTCTAGCAAGTCCATGTGATGTCATGTCCAGGGGCGCCCGACACACCGAGCATACCAAATCTGAATTTTGTTGTAATAGCTGTTACATTAGGATCACCTTAACATGTGGACATCATAGATACTCAGCATTCTCTACTTAACCTACGGCACATGTCCAGTATGTTATCCTCGTGTTTCAGGCATCTACAAGAATGAAGGGCCTTTCGACGTGTTTGTGGACTTACATGACGTAAAGGAGCTCTACAAGATTGAGGTATGTTCGTTTCACAAGGAACTAGAATAGATTCAATGACAGTCCTTGGAAGCTTTCTACGCCCTGAACACGACTGTGTCAAACTCATACACTGCTGAACCATATTTTTTTCCTTACAGCCAAGCCCACCTTGCAATGCTAAAGCCTTAAAGGAAGCAATATCTGGTCTCCCTGGGGCTCCTTTTCAGTTTAAATGGGTCTTAATTTTTACAATTAATTTCATATATATTCAGAGAGTAAGCATTAGTCTAATACACAGTAAAACTGTAGATTTCTGAATTTTTGGATTTGCTTTCAAATGTTTGATCCCGTCGTCGTCACGGTCATACATATAGATGTTCAACTGCGTCCATTTTCACCATATTGTCCCCAATGTTCTTCAGCCAGACTTACACGTGCCAAACTGCAAGCATACAAGGTGCAGATAAGCACTCTCCGTATTTAACGAAACCAGTTTGATATATATTTTTAAGACTAAATACTAACATTCACTTTGTGGTTTAGTCCTCTGCCAAAAGCGTCCGTTTCGGAGCTGGCCTGTCCATCTCCGACCTCATCGATGCCCTGCAGAAGAGGGCCGACGACAAGGGCTACAGCTACTTCAGCGGCATCGCCAACCACCTCCTCATGATCGGCAACGTCCTCGTCAGAAATGTAATCGCCGGCGTATATGCCTTGTCTGTGTTTTCAGCTTTTTACTCACTGTCATAACCTTTATTGAAGACGCCAGTCAAAGTGATGGAATGAAAATTAACGCTTGGGTAACATTGTAATGTCAGTGATAAGAATCTGTGCAGGTGTAATTACAGGTAAACCGTATAACCGTAGATGGTGTACTTGCCTAATGGGAGATTATTATCAAGGAATAGAACAGCTTTAAAATTGTAACATGAAGTCAGTGCATGTCCAAAAAATAAAGTAAAATGTGTCTGTTTGAAATATACAAAGTATAAGCTTCAAATGCTTAAAGTAAACGTGCAGATGATGAGAGAATGTAGGAATGATTCTGCGACCAGTCTTCGAGCAATGATGAATGATGTTGTATCCCCCAGGCTGGGTCTTGGGCTGGTAATCTGATGATCAAGAACGCCCACCCTGACTTCCCCTCCGATGTCTTCACCCCACTGGAGGCCGCAGGGGCCAAGATATTCATCCTGGGTGTGTAGACTGCCACGTGACAGGTGCTCTGAACGTTATCTGTATCTGTACATCCCCGAGTACTGACATGTATAGGTAACATTGTTCGTCATGCAGGGCATGTAACCATGAAATATATCATGTATGCCTGTCACAATGATATTGACGAGGAATTCACTCCAGCCATATCTTCGGATTGCTATTTCTTCAGCGCCATATATTTTTGCACAGGTTGGAGTAATGTCATATTTGTGTGATTTATTATTTTGCCAATGTCAAAATATAAGTGTCTTTATTAAGCAATTTTGTGCATTGAAACTGACACATTTGTATGACGTGGTGGTATCCCTGTATGTTCAGACAGTAAGGATGGGAGTGTCAAGTCTCACACACTGACCAGCCTCGCCCTCAACCTGGACATGACGGGGAAGATCATCACCTCTGTGGAGTTGTTCAAGCAGGTTGACAAATACAGGTTCCGGTCTTACAAAATCATGCCACGATCACAGGTATGTTGCTTCCATCTGTAACTTTAAAGGTACATTTGTCTGATGGAATACCCCTAATTAAAGTCAAACTACTTCCAACATTCCAATGCGTTGTGTTAACATCTGTGCGGCACACATCTTCCAGAATGCCCATGCCTACGTGAACGCTGCGTTCCGGGTCACTATCGAGCCAGCGAAATTCCAAGTGCTCGGAAAACCTTCCCTTGTGTATGGCGGAATTGATAAAAAGACGGTGAGTTGTAGAAGTAATGGTAGAAGTCGTTATGGCAGTAGTGGTGGTTATGGAAGTAGTTGTTGTAGTAGTTGTAGTAGTGGTAATAGAAGTAGTTGTAGTAGTGGTAATAGAAGTAGTTGTAGTAGTGGTAATAGAAGTAGTTGTAGTAGTAGTAATAGAAGTAGTTGTAGTAGTGGCAATAGAAGTAGTTGTAGAACTTAGTGGTTGTATATATATTGGTAGCTTGTCTGTAGTCAAAGCTGTAGTGCAGTGGTGACATTGTGGTAGTGTAGTAGGGGATGTAGCAGTCGTAGTGGTAGTTGATGGGGTAATAAGTTAGTTATATGGTTCCACCACTACATCGTCATATCCGAAGAGGAACAGGTTTTATGAAGAGACAACTTCTCTATTGCATTAGATGCTAACCCCGTTATCAAGCAAGTGACACACAACATTATGGACAAGGAGAATATATGCATGAAGGATATTGGGGTTTTATGTACAACTCATATTCCACTACATCATAACAACTTCTATATTCTAAATGACACTTAAAGAAGACATCTGTATACGCGTCATGTTTCACTTTGTTCCCTACAGATCCATGCCACAAAGACAGAGGACTTCCTCACAGGGAAGAGTCTGACGGATCCTGCGGTGATTCGCGGTACGGGGAATATAAGTGTCATTTACTTTGTTCTTCCGTTTTAATGACTGAGATTTCTAACGTTTACACTGTATTACTTTTAGTTATTTTTAGTCGCCGTTTATCATTATAAATGATTAAGTTCTTAAAATGGCACCATATCTTGTTTGACGCATTGTGTGCAAAGGTAACTGTGTATGGTAGTGAGAATTTAGATTGAGTGATTCGGATAATTAGTTTTAAAGAACAAATAAACTTTGTACTCTTTTAACTATTACATATGAAAGATTTGTGGTCAGTCTTATGCGGAACACCAAATTCACTCTTTAAAAACTTGTGGTTAATTAATACTGAGCGATTAAAAGTTGCCAAAAGTCGCCTGCTTCACTCTCGCCAGCCAACGAAACCACAGACAGGTTACGTAACTCTGTCGCCAGAGCACTGCAGTGACGTCATATGAGGAACGATTTTCAGTTAGTTGTATAGAAAGTGTGTAGCAAGCTCGTCATCTTGATGATTTCTCGACATCAACGAAGGCATGCCGAATCGTTGCTTTGTCGTTAATTGCTCCTAGAGGTCGGGCGATGGTGTCACCATGCACAGATTTCCACAGGACCCCACAGTTCGTGCTAAATGGGTTATGTTTGTGAGTGCGAAGCGAGCGTTGTGGAAGCCTGAAACGATATCTTACTTGTGTTCAGATCGCTTCACGGAAGTTAAAGAATCAAAACTACTTACTAGTTGTAGTGAAATATGTATATGATTGATGACCATAAAGATTTTCCATGACACAACTTGTAACATAACGATTTCTTCCTCGGAAGCGAGGTTGTGGTCGAAGTAACAGTAATACTGTAAGTAGTATTATATTGACACCCACCTCGCTTCCACGAGAGAAATTGTTATGTTATACGCTATGTCATGCAAAATCCTATTGGACATCAATCAAATACATATTTTACTACCAGTAGAAAGAAGTTCTGATTTTGTAACTCGGTGAAAACAATCCTAAAAAGCAAAATTAGTTTCCTAATTAGTATATCATCATACTTGTATGCATTTTGAAACTAAATAAACAGCAGACGATCTGCTGATACTTATAACAGGACTGTAATATCTAGACATTTTATAGTTTGCCAATGTGAATCAGAATCCGCACACACGCCCTAGTGTATGTTGTCTCTCCTTAAGTCTCATTGGTCACCCAAATATAACACACCTGGCAACTAATTGCATAATGTCCGCCATTCTTTAAAAAAAAGTAATTTAGTTAGCCAATAACGAGCAATCAATCAATTTATTGGAGGTTAATCCTTTGAAAGAACTGTTAACTTCAAATGAAATTTATCCTACATAGGAAACACCTTCAGAAAATACCATATGTCTCTCATCATATGTACATTCGCGACTGTGCCAGTCGTAAAAATATCCCCTCTACCGCGTCAGGCGATGAGAGATACAGCAGTCAATAATAGCATGGAATATCCACTGTGTATCCTCCAAAGAGAAAACAGGCTTACCAGGTGTTTACTGGTCCTCCACAAATATCTAGATTTCATGCACCTAAAAGACCCAATCTTCAAGCTGAACACACTGGAATCTGTTTCACTTACTTCGTCTCTGGGTGAAGATCTCCCATGTGAGCCCTGAGCAAAATCTGACCACATAATCTAATTTACGGTTCCATAGGTTCTAGAACTTCCTTAATGGTTAGGGATCCATGATATTCTGAAACGTCAGGAGTGAATGAGCGAGCATGGTTTTACGTCGTCTTTAGCAATATTCCACCAATATCACCGCGTTGGACACCAGAAATAGGGTTCACATTTTGTACCCATGTAGGGAATCGAACCCAGGTCGTCGGTGTGACGAATATACAAACTAATGACAACAACGTAAGTGGAGCTCCTTGATAGTGTCCGTTAAATGAAGTACACACATTCTATAAAGTTTGCATAAAGGACTGTTGGGTATGAACTATGTGAATCTTTAGCTTAAAACATCTACGATTTGTGAAGCTATCTCGCATATTGAACCTGACATACGTCATATATCATTGTGATTACTTTGTTATACAATAGGTGCACTGGAATCTCTTAAATCAGAGTTGAACCCCGACTATGAGGAATTGCTAGCAAGCGTTGAGTTCCGGAGAAACCTGGCCGTCAGTCTCTTCTACAAGGTAAGAACATGGAGTGTTTACCCGGCAGGTGGGAACGGAGCATTTTCGAAATAACATCATACACACATGACTGCAAAATTCTTTAATTGCAACATCTGTTGCAAATAATAACAAAGCTGTTACCTGAAGGATTGGACTGTCCCTTGGCGGAACTAGAACCTAGCCGCGTTTAATGGCGTGAACGTGTTCCGTGAATAGAGCAGAAAAAACTTGTATTTGCAGATTTGACTTTCACTAGAAACAAGGATCTGACATTAATGACATTTAAACTATCTGTGAATGGGTCAGGCGTAATGACCCGCTGTTTACACTATCTGTCCCGTGTCAGTATTAAGTTGTCTTCAGGGCTAATCCTGCTCATGTACTGAAGACAAAAACGCGATTTTATTTGTGCTACAACATGTGGAAATGTCCGAAGGACCCTAACTGTATTCAACAATACATGCAAACTCTTCTTCAGTTCATCCTCAACATCTGCGAGTCCAAGACCCCCTTGACGCAGTCCGGTGGAGTCCTTCTAGAACGCCCAATATCCAAGGGTCACAGAGAGTTCCCAGAGCAAAAGGCGGAATGGCCTCTCAAACAACCAATGCCTAAAATTACTGCCCCATTTCAGGTGTGTGTATACGTATACTCTCATCCATCGTGAACTGGAATAGATATAAATATAGAATTGTCCATGTACCACTGCTACAGTTCCTCTATAATCCGCTTCATCGCAGGCTGTCGTGATACTTCAATTATTGCTGAATGTGGCGTTTGATGACTCACCTTATTCTGTATTTATTGTGGCAGTATTAACGTTTGCCTCGGGTGGTGTTCTTACGGTAAACGTTATTATGTCCTGTGTAATTTCATCTTGCCCCTGTATTGATTAACGATACTAAGTCAATATTCGCCGGCTCAGGTGGACCTTGTAGCCTGTACTTCATCTTGCTTGTATTGACTGTCCGAATCAAGTATTCGCTGGTCACACCACTGTACTTCATCTTGCTTGTATTGACTGTCCGAATGAAGTATTCGCTGTTCAATCATTGTACTTCATCTTGCTTGTATTGACTGTCCGTAACAAGTATTCGCTGGTCACAGCATATGTATTTTATGTATTCAATGTTTCATCTAGGCTTCTGGCGAGGCAGAGTTCATCAATGACATGCCTTCCTCGTCAAAGGAATTGTGTGGATCTTTCATCCTGACCTCCGTTGGCTGTGGTACTATTGACCACATTGATCCTTCGGAAGCATTGGTAACGTACCTCTTATTTCTATAAATCTTCTACCTGTAAGTTTTGATAACATTTACATCGATTGGTTAAATGGTGTACATGTTCTCCATAGATGGAGCATGCTGCACAATGGGTTATCTTGAAACGTACGTTCAGTTCAACTAACATGAAAAGGTAACATTTCTTAGACAAGACGTGGCAGAATCAGTGTAACCTTCCATGAACGTACTGTCAGAATGCATGGATGACGCAGAGATGTCCTGTCGCAACACCATTAAACATTAAACACACGGTCATTAGCTGAGTAAGTAAAAGATAGTCCAAGACCTGGAAGCCACAGGAAGACCTATGACCGTGATGACCGTGTCCTAAGTCGACGCAATTCCAGAACCGCTCCAGAAATGGAGAGTGGAGTCCCACTATCCACCCGTACCATCAGAAGGGAGCTGCGGGCTGCTATACATTATCGATGGCCGCTGTCGCCTCTGGAGACGTCGTAACGAGGCGTATCACCAGGAGATGATCCGTGCTGATGAACTCTGTGGTGGTGGCTCATCAAATGACGATACAATTGGTGGCTAGGTCATGATGACCACACTTTCGTGTATTGTTTGTAGTCATGTTTTTGTGTACTCTTCAGTTTTAGAGTCGTTTTAACCAGGATAAAATACGTTACCGTTACTTTTGTATACTGGGGATTTGGTTTTCAAAGCATAAACAGCAACAAGTAGTGTGTTCCTAGTTATGTCCTACTTATGACATAAAATGTGGGCGGTGTTTGTTCAACTAGCGCTCTTTCCTTAGCATATATGTCCGCGAATTCGGGAGTTCTGTTGTGTGCATGGAATTGTGTGTGTGATTGTGCGTATGGTGTTTGTGTGAGCGTGCGTGCGTCCATGGGTGTGTGTGTTGTAAATGGCTGAATAGACGTGAGGCAATTACTAACCATTCTGTTTGTACATGCAGCTGATGCCAGGAGTTGTCGACTTCAACATCAGTCAAAGATGTCGTCAGAATAACATCATGCCAAGTTTTCCCGGCATGCAGTTTGTCCCAGAAGAGGTAAATGCGGTTGAGTGGTTAGTCGCTAGACATGCAATGCCAGGAGTACTTCTTTACACGAAACGTCGAGTGCAAACGAGTTTTCGTTCACGTATTTTGTCCCAGTAAGAGGTGACCTTGACATGAATAGTCTGTTACAAAGTTGCAGTCATCGCTAAACGCTCTGACAAAAGTTGGTACACGTATTTTGCCCTCATCCGTGTTGTGCCTTTATTCATTGATACCTTCTGTGAATTATGACAAAAATACATTTTTTGTACAGATTACAAACAAACCATCTTTGCCTAAACTGTGCAGCAGATAAGCATATCGAAGCTCAGTCAATAAACAAATCTGTTCTAAAACTAATTTAAACACTAGACGTATAGTAGGGACGCAGTTGTTCCGGCAAATGTTATTCTCAAGAAAACATCTCGCCAAAATCTCACTAGCAAATATAATGGCTGCAAAATCGGAAAACTATAACTTCCAGAAACACGTAGAGTTTTATACAGACAATGATGTATTTTCGTCGTAAGTGCCCTAGTCAAAATTTAGAAATGACGTTTGTTCACGAGCAGAATGTGATAAGCAGGAGGAATACAATAATATAATGATCACTTTTATGAAAGAGTGAGTGCGTCACTTACCGTCAACGACTCTGTACGACAACTCGATACGAGAGGCTATCAAAAACTTTTGAGCCTAAAATACTTCTGATATGTGCATCATCAAAATAACTCTATGTTATTGAAGAATGGACCGCCTCCGTGGTGTAGTGGTTAGAGCGTCCGCCCGAGAGCGGAAGGTTGCGGGTTCGATCCCGACCGCGTCATTCCGAAAGACGTTAAAATATGGTACTTGTTGGTCTCTGCCTGGCGCTCGGCACTAATGGGTACAAGAAGGACTGGTCGGCTCGGAGTCAGTATAATGTGTCTGAGTTGGGTATTCATGCTTCACTGCGGCATGGTATCACAGTGGGGTATCACTATAAAACCAGCTTCACTCTGGGCTAGTACAAACAAGCGCACACATACATACACACGCATGCACGTCGTCATATGAGCGAAATATTCTCAAGCACGACTTTAAACCCAATTTCACGTCACCTCACTATTGAAGAATGGTTTATAACATTCACATAAACGTAATATTTACATGCACGTGTCGCCAGTTTCCGGTCATATGGGTACATGTGAATAGCTGTCACGTGATTATATTACATAAACACAAATGTAGGTATCTTGAGTTTATATTTGCACCAATTATATTTGCAGCTATTTTGCAGTGGGGATGTGAAATACTCAGGACAATCGCTTGGGTTCGTAATTGCAGGTGAGTGTGCGTCATTGGAGTATATTTTTGAAAGGCAAATCAATGAATGAAAAGAAAATTGTGTAACAAATGTTCACCAATCAACGGTCTGGCTGTGCATTGTAAATATGAAGGTTATACATACAGGAGTCCATTCATCGACTTTTACTACTGTTAGTATGTTACACGCGTGTACATCTTCCTCTAATCAGGATATCTCTGGTGTTAGGTCAACAGGGGGAGGGGTTCTATGGATATACAACGTTTTTATCACAATGTACACGATGTCGGTGTAGATGCTAACACCAGTATCAAGTAAGTGATGTACAGTACTGTACGTAAGGCATGTATATATGAGTAGAGTTATGTGTGTACAGTTGACGTACAGGACGATAATGTTGATGGTGTTTATACAACAGACTAGGTTGATGTGCCAAGTAGACTGACACAATAAGGATAATGGTTACACAATGTAGAATCAACAAGGGATAGATTAAAGAGGAATGCAGTTGTGTGATGGACATTGAGAATGGCGGGATTAGCATTGCTTATAGACTATTAGCGATGAGTTGATGGTAGACAGTAGGGATGTAGTATCCTGGGCTCTGTCCATGGCCGGTTGGGGTCTTGATGTGGGTTTATTGAAGAGTCTTGTCTTGCCAGATACAGCAGGTTGAACTGATGAAGGAACTGAACGTTCGTAATGGAGGACAGCATAGTTTCCAAGGGATCCAGGAGGTGGGCAAGGTGCTGAGCAGTGATGCAGTGGACTCACTGTTTGTTTAACTGATAATAAATATGTGAGGTAAATCATGCAGGCCAAAAAAATGTATAACTCTGGCGAAACCCTCACTGTGTGTGATTCCGGCAAACTGATAAACAAAATGAGGGCGAACCGTTGACCATCCCTACAGTGTCAAATGACCTATGTGACGCAAATGTCCAACTACGGATGAGTGTGTATTCTTCAGAATCTCAGACACTCGCTGATGCAGCAGCAGACAAGGTGAAGGTCACCTACAAAGACGTCAAACCCGCCATTGTGACCATCGAAGACGCCATTAGAGAGGAGAGTTACCATGCCAATCCTATGGTTGATCATAAAACTGGAGATCCGGAAGGTAAGAATGACCGTAGCTATGGCTACCATACTACTCATCAGTTAATTGTTATTACCATAGGGTTGAGAGGACTACACCGCCACATGTTAAACCTTTGGAAAGTTTGTCTGTGCATTTTACCCTCCAATATCTAAGATTTAATGAAAAGGGATGTTTTAAAACTCTATATGTAGTCGTTTGACTCTCAGACTGTCACATGAATCGGCTACTCTGACCTGTTATCCTCTGGCCAACACCTCTGTGAGATGTGTCTCTCAGCATGGGTTGTCTGTTCGCTGGTTCCAATCTGAAGTTATAACTAGCCCTGAACAAGGCCCACGTTTGTCAGGCAGCAGCTGTGTGACATTGAGCAAAGTGGTGCGGTTGTCATTGTGAGCGTTGGGAAACCGTGTTCAACGTGGATTAAAGTCATTCATTAATTGGTTAGGGGGCCACAATGATAACAGTTCATTTAGATTGATGAAACATATTTCACTCCAGATGCACTGAGCAAGGCTTCTCGAAAACTGACAGGCGAATGCAGACAAGGAGGTCTCTATCATTTCTACATGGAGAATAACGTAAGTTGCTCATATATTTATGTTTAACTCTCTCAAATGATTTACGTATAAGTTGTCAACACCGTTATACTTAGTGTCATGGAAAAACTTTGACTAATCTGTATCTAAGCTGCCTAAACTCGCACCAGAAGTGTCCTATATCTGGGACAGGTGGTGAACACTGACAAGAACTGACGTAGCTGACCCCTTGAGGTAATTGCAACAATATCCCTGTTACGGTAAATAATTTGCCGTGACAAAAGGTTTAAGAGTCCCCTTCGAACCAGCAAAATAGAATACAGGCAAGTCTAAAATATTCAATAATATATTGAGCAAACAATGAGCAAGCTACAATGAATGACAATACAGATATTTAGTACAGTGCCATTGAGTCACAAATCTAAAATGTTGGATCACAAATATGAAATATTAACTCACCACAGTCTTGACATTTACAGTGAGAACAGTTATACGGATTGAAGGTTGTTTACAATGACAGCAGTTGAATAGACAAGCACGGTCGGTCTTGAAATGTTGAACAACTTGACGATGGCAGACAGATGTGTATAAAACCAGTCATGTGAAAAGACCCATCGTGCAACTCAACAACCAGCCTTTATATAGCTCTTACACAGTTTACGAGCATTCTAGTAAAGCTAGGCAGCATCATTATCCACTCAAAATGTTATCGAAATCGGTGGAAAACTCCACGGCATGACGAGTCAACAAGTTGCCAAGGGAGGTCACAAAGATGCGCTAACAAAAAGGCATGCCGCTACAAATACTATTGTCATTGAACATATATGATGCGAGATGTGAGCCATAACTTACACTCAAAACTTTAAACATTGTGACCCATAATAACTATCACTTAATCAATGTGATATTGCAAATGACAAAAATGTTCACTCTCGTAACATTCCATATAAATATGCATTACCTTTAATGCATGTGTTTCACCGATTCCTGCAGGTGGCGCTGGCTGTTCCGGCTGAAGACCGTCTAGACGTGTACAGTTCTTCCCAGGGCACCGACATAGTTCACGCAGTCTCTCCACAGTCCTAGGCAAACCCCTCAACTAGTATGTACCTGACACATATCGTTTTCAATTTCACCAAAATCAGTAAAACGTTGTAACACCCTTGGAATGCACGTGTGAAGACATATCACACAAGGAAATGACGAAGTAGGGAAGGCAAAGTTTGCAGTGATGCTTGCAAACTTTATGATTTATGATGTTTTAAGGTTTAATGGCAACAATGTAAGTGCAACGTATTAACAATGCGATAACATAAATGATGCCAATAAATATCCCAAGTACTGATCGAACATTACTAGGCCTATAGACAGATTTAATAACAAGGCTCAGTCTCCAAGGAAATAATAGTTATTTAGTTATTTCAACTTGAATCCTTTCCGGAAATGATGCTGTGTAGAATATGTTATCAAGAAAGTGATTCTAAATTTGACTTACAAATATATACCCAGTAACAGTTACACTCAAGGCCAAAAGGAAGTGTCCCGTGCTTAAAATCTCAATAAAAATCAACACAGACAAAAACATTAATATCATATCTGTTTATGTTGACAGTAAGTCCACTTGCTAAACATCTAGAGGCTATTACCACGTCAAACACTAAGTAATGTTCAAGCAAAATTGAATTAAATGACACTGGTATCAAAGGGAAAAGTTACATGTTTTCAGTTGTGTTGAACACTATCTGTGAGCTCCAGATTAAAACACATTTGTCAACGTTTAGGTGTGCATTACTCAATCTTGTTATCCTCCTTCTGCATTGATACATGCAAGTACTCGACGTCTCATTGACGTTGTGAGACGTCTAATGAAGGCATTTGGGATTTTCCTCCATTCCTCATGAATGGCCTGCTTCAGGTGTCTCAGGTTTGCTGGTGGGTTAAGTGTCATTCTGATTTGCCTGCCCAGAAAGTCCTAGAGGTGCTCTATGGGTGATAGGTCAGGGGAACGAGACGTCCAAGGCAAAACGTTGATGTTATTGGTTCGCATGAAGTCTGTCACAATCCTAGCTGTGTGTGCAGGAGCATTGTCTTGTTGAAATAATGTCCCTTGGTGTTGATTACCGACAGGAAACACATCTGGACGAAACACCTCGTCAGTGTATTGGTGTGCTGTCAGGTTGCCTTGAACTGTAACCAATTGCGTCTTCATTTTGCCACGGATACCTCCCCAAACCATAACACTTCCAACGCCATGAGCCTGTACCTCCACTACGCATGACGGCGCATGACGTTCACCACGACGGCGATACACACGTGTTCTACCGTCGTTATGGTATAAACAAAATCTACTCTCATCACTGAATAGAACCCTACGCCAATCACGAAGCTGCCATCGTCGAACACGACGTGCCCAGATCAACCTGTTCAGGCGATGGTGACGTGTCAGCATTGCTCCAAGAATGGTCTGTGGGCTCGAATTCCGGCATGCTGTTGTCGTCGTCTGACTGTGTGTCTGTTGACAACTCGACCCAGTGCCGTTGATGCCGATTCCGAAACTGTCAGGAACCAATTCCTCAAATGTAGAATTCGTAGATATCGATCTTGCTGGGGGTAGTGACCTTTGGTCTACCTGCCCTTGGTCGGTCAACAGTCCTGCCAGTCTCATTGAAACGTTTAATAAGTCTATAGATGGTATGTCTGTGACAACCGAACATGGGCATGAGAAGCTCCCGTGTTTATCATTCCTATGACTCTTTCACGCTGTTCTGAATACAGTCTAGGCATATCTAAAGTGTTTTCCTGTTTCACAGCGTCTGTGTCATGCCAACGGTCGTTAAATGCCCCTTTTTCTGTGGCTTTTTTCCTTACAAAATGTGTATTTGTCCATTTGCACAAATTTCATGATTTTTTTATCTCGAAGTCAATTTTTCCTAATGACAACATTATTGGTGTGTTTTGGCGATTGTTAAACAATAGAAAATAAATTTCATCAATGTTGAATAAATTTCATATATCAAAAATAAATGGGCCACTTTCTTTTGGCCTTGAGTGTATGATGGTAATTATAAGGGCGGTAGAGGTATCAGGTAAAAGTAAGAGCAGGAACTTATAGTAAGAGTAATGAATGGAATGTCATAGTCTCGTGGACCATGACCGTATTTATAGGGATCATTAACAGGTCATGTGACCTTTCTCAGCCAACCAGAAGACAGGTTTGATGGCTTTCCTACAAAAACACTGCATAGGTAGTGTCATTTCTAACACAAGTAAGTGATTACTGATTGTTCTTATGTTGTCCTGTTTGTCCGAATACAATTAGGACACAGTAGAAATAATCAGGGCCTCGAGACAATTTGTTATATATAACGGACAATATCTTTCCGTCAACGTAGCGTCAGTGGCCGCCATCTTGGTTTGTGGATAAGTGAAATTACAGTAGAATCCGTCTCCTTTATTAATTTCTATTGTCCTAAAGTGACACAAAGTTTACTAGTTTACACAAAATTACTAAAATATTTGGCAAATGCAAACACAGAAAACGGACAACAGACTGTCAAATACTGCCTTCAGTTGTCGGCAACAAACGTCAAAACACGGATTGATTGTCATATTGCAGGTACAAATGTAGGAAATACCGGAGAATATGCATTGTCCTCTATGTCTCCAAACAATGCATTTCTATCAGAGAATGCAGGAAAATACTAGATAATGAATATGTGACTTTGATATAGAAACGGACATCAGTTTATAAATAGTCACTCGATCAGGATAACGTAAATGTTCTTGACAGGTCACCGTGACCTTAGAAATGTCAAACAGATTAATAACAGATTCGTTATTAAGTGCAATCAAGTGTAATTTCCATCAGTATCCATCATGGAAAATACTCTTAAACATTCCTGAGCATGAAAGTTATCAGAAACTCGTCATTAACTTGTGTAGTGGGGCATTGTGTATCTGGGTCAAAAGTCAGACTTACTTTCTATAAATAGCCACGATGCAGGAGTGTACACAAGATATTATTCCTGACAAATATCGTTGTTATCACTCAAAATACATGTTAATGATTCCATACAGTGAATAAATGTATCATTTGGTGACATGAAATACATAAGCCTGTACAATAATAGTACATACTGATATCACTAGTAAGATCCTTCATGGATGTAAATACCGTAGTGACACACACCTGATAAAACATACCTAGCAACAGTGAATATGCCCCCTAAAGCTGACTCAAATAGGTGAACTTCAGAACCAGGTAACTGTCTATGATGCCGTTATCTTATCATTTACTTTAATATATTTTGTCAATATCTATCAATATCGCTGGTATACTCACTCCTTATTGGAACTAAATGTTCCCATAACAAGCAATACGTGCTATAAAGGATTTTGCTCGCCCATATACAAGTAATTATAAATTATCCAACGTAACCACTGCCTGTGAATAAAAGTTTCCTGTAAAACGTTAACTGTGTTTCTGTGTTCAGCTTCAACGTGTGCACACCTCGAGTGGGCGGGGCATTCGGGGGTAAAGCATTTGGCTCCCTCCCTGTTGCTGCTGCAGCTGGTTTGGGGGCTTACAAACACAACAGGTGAGCATGTACCTGCCTACACTTAATTCAGCAGATATTATATAGAGGATATTATATGAGTGCCCATGTCATACTATGTTTACGACACGAGTGCCTAAATGTTGGTATTTATGTAGGACATAACGATATTTAGGCACGAGGGTCGTAAACATAGTATGACATGGGCACGAATATAATATTCTGTTTATTACCGGAGTCGTCAAATTGAGGAAAATCAACCCAAATCTACTTTCAAGCATAGGCTTATTTTGCGTAGGTAATAATTTCACTACGCGTTTTGTATTGTTATATGGACTGGATAAAATAAAACAAGCTGATTATTCCCAGGCCAGTGAAATGTAATGTTGGCCTGTCGGCGTCGATGAGAATGAACGGGAAAAGACCTGCTTTGTGGGCGAAGTATGAGGTAAGTAGATTACGACAGTATCTTGACACCTTTGGTAGAGGGTGGGGTATGGGGAGTTTTTGTACAACCCAGAGTACAACCCTTTGTTGTGCCATGATCCGGTGTTCGTGTGCCCGAAATGCCTCATCGTCTTGATAGGGTGGTCAGAACAACAGTCTTGCCCTTTGCCAATGAAAAGGGATTCGCACGATACGCTGTACCACACTGATACAGCGCTGTACCACACTGATACAGAGTTCAAACCAACTTTACGGACAGAACAATTCTGTCCCTTACCATTCACACAAATGCTCATGATCTCCTATCAACAGAAATATCGTTTCATGAATGTTGTCGTCCACGATTGATGGGGAATATACAATCGGCTTCCTAATAAGCCACGTAACATATGTTATATTTGACATTACACTTTGAGTTAGTTATAACCGTGGTTGTAGATGTACTGAAATACGAGGGTTTGAAGGTTCCCATTTATTCAGAAACCACAAAGTGGCGAGTAAGACATTTTCACAGTGACTGATATCAACATGTATTTATACAGTCACGTAACATACTGAGGTACACGCCTAGAATGTCAGTTTTCTCCTCGATGTACCTTGAATAATTCTGACTTCTATGACAGGTGGGGTTCGACGACAGCGGCCGTATCGACGTCATCTCTTTCGAAATTTACGTTAATTGTGGCTACACCGCAAACTTTGCCTTCATATATCACGAAATCCTAACTCATATTGACCAAGGTGAGTTCCTCCTCCACAGAAGATATGTATGTACGTCTGATATTGTGTAAGAATGTCATGTTTTGGTGTCAGTGCTGTTTTACTGTTTTATCTAAAAGTCATCGTTGGATGTTGTAACCTTTCGTGTTTGATGTACGTCAATATTTCTTGCGTTCATTAGCCGACTTATAAATTCCAATTCAACAGTTTTCAAGAATGAATCTACTTTTCCTAAACGACTATTTGGTCACTCATTTACGTTTGTCACGCATTTTCCAGGGTACCACATCCCCAACTGGAGAGTGAAAATAATTCTTTGTAAAACCAACAGAGCGCCCGGAAATCCAATGCGTGGACCAGGTATAATGATTAAACTTTTATCCTTTGTATGTGTCTTACGACGTTTGTATGTGTCTATATGTTTACATTTGATCATTCATGAATGATGGACATTTTATGAAGTATTTGCACTGGCATTTCATTACAATGATGTAAGGGGCGGCGGGGCAGCCTAGTGGTTAAAGCGTTCGCTCGTCACTCCGAAGGCCCAGGTTCGATTCCCCACATAGGTACAATGTGTGAAGCCCATTTCCGGTGTCCCCAGCCGTGATATTGCTGGAATATTGCTGAAAGCGACTTTAAAACATTTATTCACTCACTCACAATACTGTTTGCTATTGACCTTTGTAATGGCATGCCATATATGTGAGTATATAGTGTTATCCTTGTTCAGGCCCCTACCCAGCGGGATTCCTCATTGAGGCCGTGTTGGAAAATGTGGCCCAAAGTCTTGGCAAAGTTGCAGCTGATGTGAAAGAGGCCAACCTTTACAAAGAAGGCCAGGTAAGATGCCAGCAAGCACATGGCATTACATGTGTGTGTATGACGACACGGGGTATACACGATGGTGGTGCGTGTTAATTCTAAGCTGAAACTAAACGCTATTGGGGATCAGTCCGCAGAGGAACTCTGCGTGAAGCCACCATAGAACAAATGGATGTGACATAGTTTATCAATCAATCTAATTCACAATAAAAGTATTGAAATACTGTGGCAGAAGTATTCAAATGGCAGAATAATACAAACGCAGTAGTCGATCTTCCAATAACAGTGGCATCCAGGGTAAGGATGATCTTCACACAATTGTAGTATCCAGGGTAACGATGATCTCCACACAATTGTAGTATCCAGTGTTAGAATGATCTCCACACAATTGTAGTATCCAGGGTAAGATGATCTCCACACAATTGTAGTATCCAGGGTAAGAATGATCTCCACACAATTGTAGTATCCAGTGTTAGAATGATCTCCACACAATTGTAGTATCCAGTGTAAGAATGATCTCCACACAATTGTAGTATCCAGGGTAAGGATGATCTCCACACAATTGTAGTATCCAGTGTTAGAATGATCTCCACACAATTGTAGTATCCAGTGTAAGAATGATCTTCACACAATTGTAGTATCCAGGGTAAGAATGATCTCCACACAAAATTAGTATCCAGAATAAGGATGATCTCCACATTATTGTAGTATCCAGTGTTAAAATGATCTCCACACAATTGTAGTATCCAGTGTAAGAATGATCTCCACACAATTGTAGTATCCAGTGTTAAAATGATCTCCACACAATTGTATTATCCAGTGTAAGAATGATCTTCACACAATTGTAGTATCCAGGGTAAGAATGATCTCCACACAAAAATTAGTATCCAGAATAAGGATGATCTCCACATTATTGTAGTATCCAGTGTTAAAATGATCTCCACAGAATTGTAGTATCCAGGGTAAGAATGATCTCCACACAAAATTAGTATCCAGGGTAAGGATGATCTCCACACAATTGTAGTATCCAGTGTTAAAATGATCTCCGTAGAATTGTAGTATCCAGGGTAAGAATGATCTCCACACAAAATTAGTATCCAGGGTAAGGATGATCTCCACACAATTGTAGTATCCAGTGTTAAAATGATCTCCACACAATTGTAGTATCCAGGGTATCGATGATCTCCACACAATTGTAGTATCCAGTGTTAAGATGATCTCCACACAATTATAGTATCCAGGGTAAGAATTATCTCCACACAAAATTAGTATCCAGGGTAAGGATGATCTCCACACAATTGTAGTATCCAGTGTTAAAATGATCTCCACACAATTGTAGTATCCAGTGTTAAAATGATCTCCACACAATTGTAGTATCCAGTGTAAGAATGATCTCCACACAATTGTAGTATCCAGTGTTAGAATGATCTCCACACAATTGTAGTATCCAGGGTAAGGATGATCTCCACACAATTGTAGTATCCAGTGTTAAAATGATCTCCACACAATTGTAGTATCCAGGGTAAGAATGATCTCCACACAAAATTAGTATCCAGGGTAAGGATGATCTCCACACAATTGTAGTATCCAGTGTTAAGAATGATCTCCACACAATTGTAGTATCCAGTGTAAGAATGATCTCCACACAATTGTAGTATTCAGGTTAAGGATGATCTCCACACAATTGTAGTGTCCAGGGTAAGAATGATCTCCACATAAGTGTAGTGTCCAGTGTTAGAATGATCTCCACACAATTGTAGTATCCAGTGTTAGAATGATCTCCACACAATTGTAGTATCCAGTGTTAGAATGATCTCCACACAATTGTAGTATCCAGGGTAAGAATGATCTCCACATAAGTGTAGTGTCCAGTGTTAGAATGATCTCCACACAATTGTAGTATCCAGTGTTAGAATGATCTCCACACAATTGTAGTATCCAGTGTAAGAATGATCTCCACACAATTGTAGTATGCAGTGTAAGAATGATCTCCACATAAGTGTAGTGTCCAGTGTTAGAGGGATGATCTCCACACAATTGTAGTATCCAGTGTTAGAATGATCTCCACACAATTGTAGTATCCAGTGTTAGAATGATCTCCACACAATTGTAGTATCCAGTGTTAGAATGATCTCCACACAATTGTAGTATCCAGTGTTAGAATGATCTCCACACAATTGTAGTATCCAGTGTTAGAATGACCTCCACACAATTGTAGTGTCCAGTGTTAGAATGACCTCCACACAATTGTAGTATCCAGTGTTAGAATGACCTCCACAAATATGCTGGTCGTAATGTGAAATGTAATATGAGATGAGAGACAAGAGTTAGCTCCCCTTATATACCTTTAAAAGGCTCAAGAATATACTTCAACTCTCTGTTCAGTGTGTAGTGGAGAGGTCCATGGGGTTTTGCGTAGCCACCAAAATCTGATCATGGGTCGGTCGGTCGGGAAAAAAAGAAAGAAAAAAACAACTTAATAAAGACAAAATTATCTGAATAATGTTCTTGATTCTCATATAATGTAATTTTTATTACCATTTCCCGCATTCTTTGGACTTGTGGCAGCGTCTGATTAAAAGATTTTTGTATGACGAGGCGGTACGTGTTAGGTTCGAGACGGCGGTGTTCGAATGAAACAATCAGTTTTTTTGCTGGGTCGGCAATAAAATTAGAACGGTCGGTCGGTCGATGAGAAACTGCAATGCTAAATATGGCACACCATTGTCCCCCCACTGTACAATGTTAACACTTGGAACATATACTCAGCAGCGAAAAAAAACGTCAGTACAAAATTAGATAGGCTCTGTTATCAAATTTTTACAGAAATGGACATAAGAAGCGGATCAAAACATGTTTGTGCACAATATCTTAACACATCAATGAATACTAGTAACTCAATACATTACGTGAACGTTTGCAGTCCATTCAGTCCCTTGACTTCAGTATCTAGTGTAACCACTACGAGCGGCAATAACTGCAGCACCACGTCTATGCATGGAGTGCACCAATCGATTGATGAAGGCCATTGGCTCCTTGAACCACACTCTGAGAAAGGGCTGGCGCAATAAATCGGCTGTGTTCGGCCTTCGTATGACATTATTCAGTCTCCTCTGAATTTCAGTTGGGTTTAAATCAGGACTAAGGGCTGGCCACTGCATAATGTTGACACCGTTCTGCTGTAGGAAGTCCCATGTAGCTCTGTTAGTATGGGCCCGGGCGTTATGATGCTGGACAATATTTTTCCGGTGACGTGCGAAATGTGGTATGATCTGGGGTCTGAGACATTGGTCGATGTAGCGCACTGCTGTGATGCCGCCTCCTCTCCCTCGACCAAGGTTCTCGAACACCACAGGACCCACTCTCTGGTTCAGGCCTCTTCCACCCCATACCATGATGCTTGCATCTCCCATCTCTTTCCATAACACATTGGTCTGAGTAACGCTGGCCAAGTAGTTGCCATATTCTTGTTCTGCCATCTGCAGTTGATACGCAGTACCGACTCTCATCTGTGAACAGAACAGTTCTCCATTGCCTGTATCGCCAGTTTTGGTGTTGTAGGGCAAACTGTAGACGTTCACGTCGACGACGAGGGGTGAGGATAGGTCCACGGTAAGGTCTACGGCAACGGAGGTTCCCGCTGTTAAGACGTCGGCGTACTGTATCAGTACTGACTGGTCTTCCGTGTGTTCCCACTGTCTGGCGTGCTGTTTCGGATGCCTGCATAAAGGGATTCTGTACATGCTGTCGCACAACATGGCGGCCTTGTCGTCTTGTGGCTACCCTTGGTCTGCCAGTACAGGGGCGATTATTTGTGGTGTTGGTGGCGCGGAAACGTTGCTGCAGCCTGTAGATGGTCCGAACGTTGACCCGGAAATGATTGGCAACGGTTTGTGCAGTGTGGCCAGCTTCAAGTCTTCCTAGCGCCTGGCCTGAGCTGTCGTGAGTCGCGGCATCCTGCTGACGTTGTAATGTGAATGTTTCAACCAGGTTTGGGGGTGCATTTTATAGAGCTGGTCCATGTGAACAGCACGTACAGCATGAGTTGCATGAAAAACATGGAGAACATCGTGCCATCTCGGAGATCAGGTTGCGTTTTTGAGACCATTTCCTGGGTTCCATTCTGAGTTTGGGAAGGAATGTCTTTGCTCAGGTTAAGTTGGAGATGTCAAAAATATACAATCAAAACATTAAATGAGTTTACAGTTATCCGTTTCTGCGAAGGAAAATTCCAAACAGACGTTTCTTTTGCTGCTTAGTATAGTTACACAAAGATTACCAATGTACCATCATCATATATGTGCTAATTACCAGCTCACAAATTCACAAATACATCATTCCTGTTGTGTTTCCACAAACGCATGATTTGTACATGCTGTCGCTTCGACACAATTTCTAAAAATAGAAATAAGAAAAGAATTAGAAATAAGGTGAGAGCATTTCCAGGTATTTACTGGTTCTGTCTGTTCCCAGATTGACATACTTGGCCACGAACTAAAGGACTGCACGATGGGTAAGTTGTGGCAACAGCTGAGACAGGCGTCCGAGTTCGACAAACGACGGGGAGAGGTCGACACCTTCAACAAGGTATGTCACAGTGTGCACTTCATGGTTCCTTGCAGTAAGAGACCAAGATATTCACACACGCACACACACACACACATGAACGCACGCAAAATTGTAAGTCTAATCAAATGTTTGAACACCATGTGTATATTACTATAGGGACGACACAAGGTGACGACTTGGAATTTACGTCACAAGACAAATTATGATCTGTAACTGTAATACCAGAAGATCTGAAGATAAAGATGAAACGAGTCGTGCCAATAAGCATCTATTTTCTTATTACACTCACACACAGGCTTGGGGCGGTCAGGCTAGCTGATATGATTAATGTATGTCATCGTATCCCACTTGCGTGGACTGATGGCCATTATGTCGACTCTAGATTGTCTAGTCCACACAGGTTCTTGTGGTCTTCAGGCAAACCTCTGGAAGAAACGAGGCATCACCATGACGCCAGCCAAATACGGATTCTTCTACATGGGTGCCGGCGTGTCTGTAGACGTTGCCATATACAGCAGAGATGGCACTGTCACCGTCTCCCAAGGGGGCGTGGAGATGGGACAGGGACTCTACACAAAGGTAACAATATAATCTCACACCCAGTCACGCCACGTCCAATCAAGTGACCTTAAGCACACATTCACACAGTCTTCGAATGACATTAAGAAGTGAGACATTGGTAAAATCCCCCGACCCCATCAAAAAAAAGTCTGACAACATCCAATGTACATCTGTCAACAAACTCGATCAGAAAATCGCTATTTCCGCACACACAGCAAGAGCAATTATCATATTGTCATGTCGGAAGCTTACAGCATCCTTTCCCAACAACAACTGGCGTGGATGGAAGAGGCCATAGACATGATGAGATTCCAGCCAACCATGAACCGTGGCTGAGGAACGTTTTCTGCCCTTGGACTTATTGATGTAATTATCTCTGTCCCCAACGAAATCCGACATGTGTAGGTGATGGTGCTTGGTTTGGTTCTGGGTTTGTTATCTCGGATGGCGGCACTGATAGTTTTGTAGTCTGTCTCACAGCCCCTGAACCCTGAACCCAGTATCTGCTCGTATACGCGTGAGTGAGAATACAGTGTGAATGCGTATCGTTTCTTAACTAATACATTGTCATTTGTGTCATATGTATTTCCTTCAGATGCAGATGGCAGTGTGATAAAAAAATTAGGTCTTGCACATAGTAGTTTGACGTGTTCGTGACTAACAGGGGACTAACAGGCCCGGTTGGTCCGGCTCAGTGGCCTGGTAGCCTGGTGGCCTGGTAGCCTGGTGGCCTGTTGGCCTGGTGGCTCAGTGGCCTGATAGCCTGGTGGCCTGGTCGCCTGGTCGCCTGAGAAATGCATGCCATCCACTCACAGCTGCGTAGCTCGATGCATGTTATGTCAGTTTTTGGATTAGTCCCGAAACGTATATTTCCAGACCGGTGTGAGATAGCTGGGATAGTGTTCAATGCAGTGTTATACAAAACAGGTATAAAGCATTACTCTTCTGAGTGCATGTAAACTTGTAAGGCGAAATGTAATGCCAGATATCACATCATCTATGAGGATATGATATATATGTCCTGCATTAACCTGACGTTGTTGTTGTTGCAGGTGCTGCAGGCGGTGGCAAGCACCCTGGGTATACCCTCAACATGGTGCGAATGCGACATGTCAACTCCCACTTGGCCGCCAACAACACCGTCACAGGTGGGAGTGTTTCCAGCGAGCACGCCGTCCAGGTAAGTCTCACACAACCAATTCTGGTTTGGTTAAGACTGCAGATTCCAGATCACAATAGAAACTGGATTGTCATTAACCTTTAGATAAAGGTTTAGATATGTGCTTTTATAAAGGAAATAGTAGGCCTACCTGATGTTTAGTATACCATTTGTATGCCACTGTCAAATCAGAGTTCGTTTTTGATTCAGTTCAGTTTATTGCCCGACGTCCCCGTAGACAGCACACATTGTTTCAACATACTGAAGATGCACCGTCAAAACAAAGTCTAAACTTTTTTAATCTATTTAAAAGCTATTATCTATTTATAATACGCCATAGAGAAACATGGAATGGGTTGACGAGTCATGTATACCTTTCAGTCCGCCATAACCTGTTGTGAGACACTGAATGAAAGGTTGCAGCCATTCCGGACCAAGCATCCCGACTACGACTGGAAAAACATCATCGGCGTGGCCAGCCTCGCCAACGTTGATCTCACTGCGAAGCACAAGTACGTCGGCAATATATACCTAGGACGATGTAAACCCTTTAACACATGCTGACATGTAAACAACCCTCTAACATATGCTGACATATAAACATCCCCTCTAACACATGCTGACATATAAACATCCCCTCTAAGACATGCTGACATGTAAACAACCCCTCTAACACATGCTGACATATAAACACCCCCTCTAACACATGCTGACATGTAAACATCCTCTAACACATCTATGTAAACACCCCTCTAATGCTGACATATAAACATCCCCCCTCTAACACATGCTGACATGTAAACATCCCCCTCTAACACATGCTGACATGTAAACAACCCCTCTAACACATGCTGACATGTAAACATCCCCCTCTGACATATAAACATCCCTCTCTAACACATGCTGACATATAAACATCCCTCTAACACATGCTAACATGTAAACAACCCCTCTGACATGCTGACATATAAACATCCCCTCTAACACATGCTGACATGTAAACAACCCCTCTAACACATGCTGACATATAAACATCCATCCTCTCTAACACATGCTGACATGTAAACATCCCTCTAACACATGCTGACATGTAAACAACCCCTCTAACACATGCTGACATATAAACATCCCTCTCTAACACATGCTGACATGTAAACATCCCCTCTAACACATGCTGACATGTAAACCCTCTAACACATGCCCTCTAACACATGCTGACATAAGTAAACATCCCTCTAACACATGCTGACATATAAACAACCCTCTAACACATGCTGACAAACAACCCTCTAACAAACTGACAAGTAAACCCCTCTAACACATGCTGACATGTAAACAACCCCTCTAACACATGCTGACATATAAACATCCTCTCTCTAACACATGCTGACATGTAAACAACCTCTAACACATGCTGACATGTAAACATCCCCTCTAACACATGCTGACATGTAAACATCCCCTCTAACACATGCTGACATGTAAACAACCCCTCTAACACATGCTGACATGTAAACAACCCCTCTAACACATGCTGACATGTAAACAACCCTCTAACACATGCTGACATCCCTGTAAACATGTAAACCCCTCTAACACATGCTGACATGTAAACAACCCCTCTAACACATGCTGATATAAACAACCCTCTAACACATGCTGACATGTAAACATCCCTCTAACACATGCTGACAACCCCTCTAAACATGCCCCTCTAACACTCTGCTGACATGCTGATAAACAACCCTCTAACACATGCTGACAAGTAAACAACCCCTCTAACACATGCTGACATGTAAACATCCCTCTAACACATGCTGACATATAAACATCCCTCTAACACATGCTGACATATAAACATCCCCTCTAACACATGCTGACATATAACATCCCCCTCTAACACATGCTGACATATAAACAACCCCTCTAACACATGCTGACATATAAACATCCCCTCTAACACATGCTGACATGTAAAAACCCCATCTAACACATGCTGACATGTAAACAACCCCTCTAACACATGCTGACATGTAAACAACCCCTCTAACACATGCTGACATGTAAACATCCCTCTAACACATGCTGACATATAAACATCCCCTCTAACACATGCTGACATGTAAACAACCCCTCTAACACATGCTGACATGTAAACAACCCCTCTAACACATGCTGACATGTAAACAACCCCTCTAACACATGCTGACATGTAAACAACCCCTCTAACACATGCTGACATGTAAACAACCCCTCTAACACATGCTGACATGTAAACAACCCTCTAACACATGCTGACATGTAAACAACCCCTCTAACAAATGGTGACATGTAAACAACCCCTCTAACACATGCTGACATGTAAACAACCCCTCTAACACATGCTGACATGTAAACATCCCTCTAACACATGCTGACATGTAAACAACCCCTCTAACACATGCTGACATGTAAACAACCCCTCTAACACATCGTGACATGTAAACATTCCTCTAACACATGCTGACATGTCAACAACCCCTCTAACACCCAGTAAAATAATGAACTACAGTACTGTCACTGACTTTGATATGATTGTCCAACAGTGTCAACGTACATGAAAATACGATTGTGCTAACCCCACCAGCTCCTTCTCCAGGTTTGTCCCCAAGAAACATGACGGTCCTGGAATGTTCCACTACTTCTCCTACTCGGCGGCAGTCACGGAAGTGGAGCTGGATGTTCTCACCGGGCAGAGTCAGATACGGAGAGTTGATATCCTGTTTGACTGCGGGGAAAGGTGCGTTACAGTGAAAGCAGTATCATTGTTGCCAGCTTCAAGCGGATATCATCAGTGACCGTGGCAAGTTGAAAACGGGAGATAAAATGGGCGTGGCGTGAGTGGGGCGTGGGCGTGGGCGTTGGTGGATGTTTGGATAGGGCATGGATGTGGCGTGGGTTTGGTGGGGCATGGTTCGGGGCGTTTCGTGGGTGTGGTGGGGCGTGGATGAGGGCGTGGGTGTGGGTGGCTGTGTGTGGGGATGGACAAGGGCGTTGGCAGGGGCGTGTCTGTGAAGTGCAAGGGTATGGTTGTGGCATTAGATTGTGGTGGGAATATGGCAGAATTATTACTATTATTATATGATACTTATATAGCGCACATATCCAGGCAACTAGTGCTTGCTCAAGGCGCTAATATTTTTTCCCTCGATCATTGGATGTCAATCTCAATGGCACATCGTATTATCAATCTCAACTCCCTGGGGAGTATACAACTCTTGCAGCCACTAGGCGCACCGAGTTATTGTGGCTTTCTCATCCTAACGAGGTACCCATTCACAGCTGGGTGGACTGGGACACATAGTCACAGTACTTTGTCCAAGTTCACTGCACGTTGCTGTACCCGCAACTAGGTGTTTGCACGTATTCATGTGGCCACCATCTGGTCATATACCAACGGATTCGTGGGTTCTTTTAAGTGCACAGGGTTGTGTACTGTACACTAGGGGTTGTGACAACACTGAAAGAGTGTGCACACAAAGTTGACTCCAAGGTTTTTACACCCGGTCACAGGTGGGCTCGATCCCGACACCTCAACCTCGCTGGATCACTAGCCAGGCGCCTTAGCCAGCTCACTCAGCTCGCCCACCGCACCCCTTCAGAATGGGGTAGATACTCTTGTATACTGTTTAAGGAAGGACATGTGAAATTTGGTTTGTCAGTGCAGTGTATCCCATAAGCAAAGCAATTACAGGAAATCCTGACTCTACTTCAGATAGAAATATCCAGTGGCCTGTGAAACTCCTGCATGCATCATTTCAAAGTGTATTCATTCAGTAGAACTGAGTGAGTTTGTACAGAGTTCAGTGTTTTGTTATATTTCAGTCTGAACCCAACCATTGACATTGGTCAGATAGAAGGTGCATACCTGATGGGTGTAGGGGGGTTCATGTTTGAGGAAGTGAAGTACGACTCGAAGACAGGGGGCGTGCTGAACGATGGCACCTTCGTAAGTAGGCCAAAATAATCTCCTGTTGTTCTACAACACTTATTTCCATGTACGACAAGGCATTTACACATGTCGAAATGTGTTGAATTATATCTTCTCTCAGAAAACCAAAAGCGAACGCCGTTCAGGCTTGAGAGGTTGAGAGCTGAGAAATTAAGGCATATCCACGAGAGGCGTATGTTCCTTCTGACACGACCAGTTCTTTATCAAGTATTGTTCTTGATGATATATGACCGTGACATGCTCTGGTATGTTGTACTTAGGACGAGGATGAGATGTACGGATTCATACAGTTGGCATGGTTTAATCGATTCCCACCTCATTGAAACCAAACATGATGCAGAGTCAGCCCTCAGACGTATTGTTATAATATCAGTGTTATGTGCGTTCAAGAAGGTCTGGGTATATGGAGGTTTGCACAGTTTAAATCCGCTAAATAAAAGGGTTAATACCACAGGGACTCGATTCACTGTTTGGACCTGGTGTATGTTATGCAATGAGTGCAGCGGTAGAATTGTCTAAAATATTCATTTCTTCACCGATTTCATTTAAATTTAAAATATAGGTTAATCCTAAAGTATAAAAGCAATATACAATTGCAAAAGTCTAGATTTGTTTTGTTGAAAATTATTGTCCAAACAGTGATTCGAAGCCACGTGGTCAATACTTTTGCGAATAACAGTACGACATCAGTTATCGCAAAACAAATCCTGCCAGTTGCCTCATCATTAACACAGGTCACTGCAGTCAAGCGTTTACATTTGTGTTAGCAGAGAATGATGTCCAAACTGTCAAATGTTATAGAGTTGAGTTGGGTTTTACGCTGCTTGAAGCAATATTCCAGCAATATCACGACGGGGACACCAGAAATGAAATGCCATGGAGTCTTGCAATATATTTACGTGAAAATAAGGAAACGACATTTTTAATTAACTGGTTGAAATAACAATACTTGTTCACTTTGATGTCCTTACCTTTCGTTAGTTTTACAAACCTCCTCTGGCTAAAGATATCCCAATAGACTGGAGGATCAAACTGCTGGCTGACGCTCGTAACCCGCTCGGAATCAGAGGGTCAAAAGGTGAGACAGACCAAGAGAAGTGCTGGGCAGGGACAAGCGGCTTACAAACTGCTATCAGTTGATGCAAATGGCATGCGGTCTTAAGCGTCACAATATGCTCTAGTCTCGGGTTCGATTACCAGCATCGACTTTATTACAACCCTGTGATTTGTTAAAACCTGCAACGCTCAATTCATGAATGCGTTAAACTTGTGTGGCCGACGTGTTCCTTGGTATTTCACCTGAATTCTACCCAACATGACGGCCTTAAGTCATAGAAATACACATCTAAACATCATTTAATCGAAGTTGGGTACATCCAAGTTGGATACCAATAGCTATTCGCCATGTTTGTTTGCATGCTGGTATGACGTAATTGAACCACTTCTGGGTGTAAGTGGAAAGTCATCCAGTACTGTTATCTTTCACAGCGTCTGGTGAGCCCCCCATCGTACTGTCGTCCGGGGTGTTCTATTCTCTCAAACAGGCCATGGAGGCAGCCCACCTCGACAATACCGGTTCCTCTGAATTCCAGCCATCAGGTAAGTGTCGCTCTTTAATCACGTTCAAATTGATGAAACAATGTAACAACAGCATTCTTCTCAACGTATCACTCAATAAATATGAATACGCAATACCTTTTTGCAAGTACATATGGGGTATCTTTGTGATTACTCTTAGTAAAAATACTCTAATACTCTAATACTTTGGGGTGTTGAGTCCCATCGGGGATTTGAGCCCACACCCTTAAAGTGAGGCAAACCTCAGACTCAGAAAGATCCACATCAGCCCCATGTATTATGTAAGAAAGAACATTTTCATGTTTGAAAGATTCGCTCCACAATTAGGTTCAAATAGGAGGTGCACACCTTAAATAGAAACATCACTTGGGCAATTTGCTTTGCATTTAATGCATTCCAACTGTTTCAGTGGCGCCGTTGACCGTGGAGAGACTGCGCCTGGGCTGCGGCTTCAACATGGCCAAGATGACGCTGTAGATGAAGGAGGAGTCAACGATCGGAAACTACCCTCAGAATAGCACAGCTGGATTGGGCCAACATATATAAACTTGTTTAACAGAGTGGCCGAGTTGGACATTAACTGTATTCCGTAGCGTAATGAACGTCTCACAGACGTAGTAGATAGTTCCCGGGAAAAATATGTATTAACACGACATACCTTGAAAAGTGCATATTCAGTAACAAATATTATTGAACGTACTAAAGATAGAAACAAAACCAACAACATGATTGTATATTAAGGTGAAAGGACAATAACACAGCACCGAGAGCACCACGAAGGTAACCAGTGTCTTCTTATCTACACTTAGTGTTAGAGTAGTCAGGGTACATTTATAAGGAAACGAGATCATCTCATGTCCAATGTGTATCGACTAATGTGCACTTGCACAGGCTGTTTAAATGTGTCTACTGGGATAAAATAGCTTCTTATTTCTTTATAGATGATGCAGCAAAGGCTATAAACTATTCAATTTATAGATTCCAATTACCAAAGTTATCACAGAGTTCATATATTTCATGACATAATTAAGGGATGATTTCTGGACATGTATAGAGAGCAATGTTTGATGATGATAACCCTGTATCCCATAGTTTAATAATTAGTAGCTATTATTCAAGAATATTTGCTGGTAACGTTTTTGTTATACATTCATTATGTTTGTCAACATTATTAAATCGAAATAAAATATTTATGCATCAAACAACTGGTGTTTTCTGTTCGATATGTCGATACTCATCAACGTATATCAACAGTGCACAACTGGTTCAGATTCAGTAACGGCCGAGGTATAGTGAGTACCCTTGGCATTCACACATTTGTCTTCGCAGTTTAGTAATACTGATTTGAGCTGTACAGTTTGGTCTGCACTGGCCTGTAACAACGGCAGTGAAAACTTTTGAAATGTGATATTTTATGATAGTAACACGGTTCTACGTCAGATGATCTCACGGGCCGGGCGGCCAACCTACCGTCTTTACCTAAGTATATAAGGGGAGGTAATTCTTGCCTCTTGTCTTAACCCTCAAACGTATACCCTGGGCCTTTGAGGCACACCTAGGTGTTTTCATGTATACAAAAACTTTAAGATTAGAAGCACATTAATTTGGGTTCATGTATTCCTCTAAAAGGTCAAAATCTTTAATTCTTCAAAACTCTTGGCAGCAGACGTAAAAAGTTTTCACGTTATTTAGCAAAAACTTGTTTAATAACAGTGAGGTATACCCTGGGGGGCCCAGGTAAGTGTTTATTTTCTAACTACGGACTGTGAAACCGGTCCATGTGCCAGATGATGTAACAGCACTTCACAATGACCATGAAGAGAAGATCAGTTAAAAGTGACGTTGAGGAAAGTGATATTTTTTTTCTGACGACAGTTCTTCCGATAGTGATTTTGTTCCTTTGGACTCTTCCGATTCTGAATCTGCAGAAACATCTGATGATGATTCAATGCATTCGTCTCATTCAGAAGACCACGAAGTTTATCTTGGAAAAAATGAAGGAAGATGGTCGAACACAAGTCCTGGATCTAGTCGTTCTCCTCAACGAACTATCATCCATGGTCGAACACAAGTCCTGGATCTAGTCGTTCTCCCCAACGAACTATCATCCATGGTCGAACACAAGTCCTGGATCTAGTCGTTCTCCCCAACGAACTATCATCCATGGTCGAACACAAGTCCTGGATCTAGTCGTTCTCCCCAACGAACTATCATCCATGGTCGAACACAAGTCCTGGATCTAGTCGTTCTCCCCAACGAACTATCATCCATGGTCGAACACAAGTCCTGGATCTAGTCGTTCTCCCCAACGAACTATCATCCATGGTCGAACACAAGTCCTGGATCTAGTCGTTCTCCTCAACGAACTATCATCCATGGTCGAACACAAGTCCTGGATCTAGACGTTACGAACTATCATCCATGGTCGAACACAAGTCCTGGATCTAGTCGTTCTCCTCAACGAACTATCATCCATGGTCGAACACAAGTCCTGGATCTAGTCGTTCTCCTCAACGAACTATCATCCATGGTCGAACACAAGTCCTGGATCTAGTCGTTCTCCCCAACGAACTATCATCCATGGTCGAACACAAGTCGAACACGAAGTCCTGGATCTAGTCGTTCTCCCCAACGAACTATCATCCATGGTCGAACACAAGTCCTGGATCTAGTCGTTCTCCCCAACGAACTATCATCCATGGTCGAACACAAGTCCTGGATCTAGTCGTTCTCCTCAACGAACTATCATCCATGGTCGAACACAAGTCCTGGATCTAGTCGTTCTCCCCAACGAACTATCATCCATGGTCGAACACAAGTCCTGGATCTAGTCGTTCTCCCAACGAACTATCATCCATGGTCGAACACAAGTCCTGGATCTAGTCGTTCTCCCCAACGAACTATCATCCATGGTCGAACACAAGTCCTGGATCTAGTTCGTTCTCCCCAACGAACTATCATCCATGGTCGAACACAAGTCCTGGATCTAGTCGTTCTCCCCAACGAACTATCATCCATGGTCGAACACAAGTCCTGGATCTAGTCGTTCTCCCCAACGAACTATCATCCATGGTCGAACACAAGTCCTGGATCTAGACGTTCGTTCCCCAACGAACTATCATCCATGGTCGAACACAAGTCCTGGATCTAGTCGTTCTCCTCAACGAACTATCATCCATGGTCGAACACAAGTCCTGGATCTAGTCGTTCTCCTCAACGAACTATCATCCATGGTCGAACACAAGTCCTGGATCTAGTCGTTCTCCTCAACGAACTATCATCCATGGTCGAACACAAGTCCTGGATCTAGTCGTTCTCCCAACGAACTATCATCCATGGTCGAACACAAGTCCTGGATCTAGTCGTTCTCCCCAACGAACTATCATCCATGGTCGAACACAAGTCCTGTCCTGGATCTAGTCGTTCTCCCCAACGAACTATCATCCATGGTCGAACACAAGTCCTGGATCTAGTCGTTCTCCCCAACGAACTATCATCCATGGTCGAACACAAGTCCTGGATCTAGTCGTTCTCCCCAACGAACTATCATCCATGGTCGAACACAAGTCCTGGATCTAGTCGTTCTCCCCAACGAACTATCATCCATGGTCGAACACAAGTCCTGGATCTAGTCGTTCTCCCCAACGAACTATCATCCATGGTCGAACACAAGTCCTGGATCTAGTCGTTCTCCCCAACGAACTATCATCCATGGTCGAACACAAGTCCTGGATCTAGTCGTTCTCCCCAACGAACTATCATCCATGGTCGAACACAAGTCCTGGATCTAGTCGTTCTCCCCAACGAACTATCATCCATGGTCGAACACAAGTCCTGGATCTAGTCGTTCTCCCCAACGAACTATCATCCATGGTCGAACACAAGTCCTGGATCTAGTCGTTCTCCCCAACGAACTATCATCCATGGTCGAACACAAGTCCTGGATCTAGTCGTTCTCTCCTCAACGAACTATCATCCATGGTCGAACACAAGTCCTGGATCTAGTCGTTCTCCCCAACGAACTATCATCCATGGTCGAACACAAGTCCTGGATCTAGTCGTTCTCCCAACGAACTATCATCCATGGTCGAACACAAGTCCTGGATCTAGTCGTTCTCCCCAACGAACTATCATCCATGGTCGAACACAAGTCCTGGATCTAGTCGTTCTCCCCAACGAACTATCATCCATGGTCGAACACAAGTCCTGGATCTAGTCGTTCTCCCCAACGAACTATCATCCATGGTCGAACACAAGTCCTGGATCTAGTCGTTCTCCCCAACGAACTATCATCCATGGTCGAACACAAGTCCTGGATCTAGTCGTTCTCCCCAACGAACTATCATCCATGGTCGAACACAAGTCCTGGATCTAGTCGTTCTCCCCAACGAACTATCATCCATGGTCGAACACAAGTCCTGGATCTAGTCGTTCTCCCCAACGAACTATCATCCATGGTCGAACACAAGTCCTGGATCTAGTCGTTCTCCCCAACGAACTATCATCCATGGTCGAACACAAGTCCTGGATCTAGTCGTTCTCCCCAACGAACTATCATCCATGGTCGAACACAAGTCCTGGATCTAGTCGTTCTCCCCAACGAACTATCATCCATGGTCGAACACAAGTCCTGGATCTAGTCGTTCTCCCCAACGAACTATCATCCATGGTCGAACACAAGTCCTGGATCTAGTCGTTCTCCCCAACGAACTATCATCCATGGTCGAACACAAGTCCTGGATCTAGTCGTTCTCCCCAACGAACTATCATCCATGGTCGAACACAAGTCCTGGATCTAGTCGTTCTCCTCCCCAACGAACTATCATCCATGGTCGAACACAAGTCCTGGATCTAGTCGTTCTCCCCAACGAACTATCATCCATGGTCGAACACAAGTCCTGGATCTAGTCGTTCTCCCCAACGAACTATCATCCATGGTGGAACACAAGTCCTGGATCTAGTCGTTCTCCTCAACGAACTATCATCCATGGTCGAACACAAGTCCTGGATCTAGTCGTTCTCCTCAACGAACTATCATCCATGGTCGAACACAAGTCCTGGATCTAGTCGTTCTCCCCAACGAACTATCATCCATGGTCGAACACAAGTCCTGGATCTAGTCGTTCTCCCCAACGAACTATCATCCATGGTCGAACACAAGTCCTGGATCTAGTCGTTCTCCCCAACGAACTATCATCCATGGTCGAACACAAGTCCTGGATCTAGTCGTTCTCCCCAACGAACTATCATCCATGGTCGAACACAAGTCCTGGATCTAGTCGTTCTCCCCAACGAACTATCATCCATGGTCGAACACAAGTCCTGGATCTAGTCGTTCTCCCCAACGAACTATCATCCATGGTCGAACACAAGTCCTGGATCTAGTCGTTCTCCCCAACGAACTATCATCCATGGTCGAACACAAGTCCTGGATCTAGTCGTTCTCCCCAACGAACTATCATCCATGGTCGAACACAAGTCCTGGATCTAGTCGTTCTCCCCAACGAACTATCATCCATGGTCGAACACAAGTCCTGGATCTAGTCGTTCTCCCCAACGAACTATCATCCATGGTCGAACACAAGTCCTGGATCTAGTCGTTCTCCCCAACGAACTATCATCCATGGTCGAACACAAGTCCTGGATCTAGTCGTTCTCCCCAACGAACTATCATCCATGGTCGAACACAAGTCCTGGATCTAGACGTTCTCCCCAACGAACTATCATCCATGGTCGAACACAAGTCCTGGATCTAGACGTTCTCCCCAACGAACTATCATCCATGGTCGAACACAAGTCCTGGATCTAGTCGTTCTCCCCAACGAACTATCATCCATGGTCGAACACAAGTCCTGGATCTAGACGTTCTCCCCAACGAACTATCATCCATGGTCGAACACAAGTCCTGGATCTAGTCGTTCTCCCCAACGAACTATCATCCATGGTCGAACACAAGTCCTGGATCTAGACGTTCTCCCCAACGAACTATCATCCATGGTCGAACACAAGTCCTGGATCTAGACGTTCTCCCCAACGAACTATCATCCATGGTCGAACACAAGTCCTGGATCTAGTCGTTCTCCCCAACGAACTATCATCCATGGTCGAACACAAGTCCTGGATCTAGTCGTTCTCCCCAACGAACTATCATCCATGGTCGAACACAAGTCCTGGATCTAGACGTTCTCCCCAACGAACTATC